CCCGCGGGCGGCGCGGGGGCCCCTGGCTCCCTTCCCGCCCCTCGCCCCGCCACTCAGCTCCGGCACTATGGTCAGCGTCGTTGGCTGTCCAACGCTTCACCGGTCGTCACGGTAACCAGTGCTCACGCGCAGTCGGTTACGCCGCCGAGGGCGGGCCGAAGTGGGGACTCCACCCGGGCGCGTGCGTATCGGATCACGTGGGTAGCGGACCTGCGGCGGAGTCCGGGGCGGCGGCCGCGCGGACTGGCGGCGGGACGGTCTACGGAGATCGAGCCGCTTGCTGCAGGTATCGCGCCCGCGCCTTTCGCGCCCCACTTCCGGCCCTGACCACGCCCCCTGGGACCCCAACCCTCGGGAACGCCCCCCACACCCGCTTGCCGCGCCCGGTAGCTGCGAACTCTTGGTTCCGCGCTCCCGGCGGTCCCTCAGCAGCCGTAGCCAGCGTCCCGGGCCTCATCTTCGCTCCAAGGCTCTCACACGCGAGACGCCTTGGGACCGCCCTTTATTCAGTGCCTCTGTATCCCTTCTTCCCCCGCCGCTGGGTCTGAATGGGTTGTAGGATTCAGAACTGTTGCAGAATGGCAGCGCTGCTGAAGAAAGCACGCAGATCCTGCAGAGCCGGGTGGGTTCTGCAGAGTCGCTGGGCGTCGCCCGGCGTCGCAGGGGAGGGATGGCGAAGAGAACAGGAGAGTCCCTCTCCCACAACCAGGACTCAGCCGCACCCCTGGGCCGTGACCGCTGGGGTACAGGTTCCCACGGGCCGGTCGGGGGCGTCTCATGAACCACCAGCCAGGGCTCTGAGCGTGCCTTAGTCTCAGCTCTTAACTGTGACATCCTGGGATGTGACTTTGCATCCTTTTCCTCATGTGTAGTACTGCCTCGTGAGATTGGAGGAGGAGGTAAAGTGAGGCCATAGGAATAACAGGCTTAGAAGTTTTTTCATAAAGTCGTGTCAGTACAAATAGCGGTAGTTAACATCGAACCCTGGGTAATAATACTGGCTAGTGGCTAAGGTTTATTGAGCTGTCGCGAAAGGCACTGTTCTAAGTGTTTGGGTTTTTTGTTTTTGTTTTTGTTTTTTTTTATGTATCGCCTCATATAATTCTCATTGTAGCCGGGAAGTGTTAGCCCCTTTTACAGGTCGTGGTGGAAGGACAGTGTGTTGTAGTGTATCTTAATCTCCAAGGGCAGGGTCTGTTTTTCAGAGTGACCCTAGTCATTTTGGGAATATTTCAGAAATGCAGATTTCAACACTACTTTATTAGCAGAGTGTGTGTGTTGGGCGGGGGTGTTACTCATTTATGTGTGTGCGTGGAAGCCACAGATCAGTGTTTATTACTCTCCTTATTTTTTGAGAAAATGTCTTTCACTGATCTCAGAATTTCCTTTAGCTAGACTGGCTGTCCCCGGTGATCCTTTTGTTTGTTTGTTTGTTTGTTTGTTTTCATTTCTGGTACTGGGATTACAAATTGTTTCTACAGTTTTCCACTCATACATACTGCTGGGGAATCTCAACTTAGGTCCTCGGGCTTGCACAGCAAACACTTATCTCCTGAGCCATCTTCCCAGTTACCAGTGGATATTTTTTTTCCTTTGAGGCAAAATTCACATAACAAAATCCATCATTTTAGCCATTTTGAAATGTGTAACTTAGCACTTTGTAGTATATTTGCAGTGCTAGACTGTTGTCACCCCTAGTTCCAGATAATTTCCACCCCCAAAAGAAATTGCACCTCATCAGCTGCAGTTGGGGCTCATCTTGCCCCCGGTCAGTGTTCCTAATCTGTTTTCTGTGTCTGTGGATTTCCCTCAGCCTCAGGTTTTTCACACCAAAGCATGCACTCATACCCCATTACTTTTTAGAGATCAGTACTATTCCATTGTCTCATGGTTGGGCCACCTTGTGGTCATCACTCCATGGACATTTTGGCAGTTTCATCTTTCCACTGCTGTAAGGCTGATAGGAACCTGCTTTACAAAGTTTTAGTGCAAGCAAACATTTTCAGTTATTTTGGATGAGTGCCTAGGAGTCGGTGCGGCTGTTGCCTTAATTCCTGGTGCCTGAGTAGAGCGATCTGGATCTCAAGGGTGTTGGATCTTGGGTAAGAGTTCTGGGTTCTTGTTCCAATGTGGTTGTCCGTCCCCCCCCCACCTCACTGCTGATTCAATCAGTGATCAAAAATGGGCAGAAGATAAAGAACTCCCAAATGACACTGTAAGAGAATTTGTCAGAATGCTGATAGAAAGTTTTGGGTTTTTTTCTCTTGAAGAGTGAAATTTGAGCTCTGGCACAAACAGTATCTAATGGCATTTGCTAAGGCAATGCTTTATTTACTAGGGCAGTATTTTATTTACCGAGGTAATATTGTATACACAGCATTTTGGATGCATGAAAACCAGTTTCCACCATTACAAAATCCAAGATTGCAGGCTTAAATCAGAAGAACTTCTAGAAAATACTGTGAGGGAATTCCTGCCAGGGGTTGCAGTATGAAGTAAAATGTGATGGGCACTGCTTGTAAAGGAAGGGATCTGGAAACAAAGACATCTAGTTCATCAGCAGTGCTCGCAAAAAATAGCAGCAAGAGTGTGTATCTAGAGTCAAGAATTCTTGTCATTCTGAGAGAAAAAGATGATACAGTGGGAAGAGGGCAAACAATGGGAACGGGCACTTCAGAGATTGAGAAGCAGCAGCAGACAAGGTTCAAAGGAGTCTTGGGCTCTATTACTAACCACTTCTATACACCCCGTTGTTTGAGGGTGAACTCCTGGGCATTCCTGCAGGTGGCACAGAGGACGCAGTGTGCACACCCACCTTCGAGACAGGTGAATCAAGTGGAAAGGGTCAGCAAGGTAGGGTGGAACCCATGAGTGCTTTGTGGCCCAGCAGTTCCACTGTGAGCGTGTCCCTGTACCAGTGCCCAAGAGATGTGATTAAGAATTTGAGTGGTGGCTCTGGGCATGGGGTAGCATGGACAGGCATTGTATGTTTGAGTGTCATGACCTACTGTGAAACTGTGACCTCAGCCAGTAGAGGAGTCTTTGGAAGAAGAAGGTGCAGGTCACAACTCAGGACACTGGGGGACTCCTCAGGAACCACTCAAACAGGCAGCACTCAGCAGCGTTGTGGAGTGTTTCAGAACAGAAAGAGCCAGAGCAGCAGGTTTGGGGTACAAGCTGTGATGCCAGTATTCACAACACTGAGGTAAGAGCAAGGCCAGCCTGTGCCTCAAAAACAAACCAACCAACCCCAACTTTCAGGAGGGTGTGCCCTCCAGTGTAGAAGGGGGGATAAGGAGGAAGCCTGGGAGTCCTGGAACTTGTTGGATGCTGCTTTTGTTGGGCTGGTCACTGAGTAGCTGTTTTGTTTTCCTTTGAGCTGTACATAGTAGGTTTTACACTTTGGAATGTGTTTTCTAGTTTCCTTTTTAAACTTTATTTTTCAGACAAGTTCTCACTTGTAGACCAGGATGTCCTTGAACTCAGACATTGACTTGCCTCTGCCTCTTGAGTTCTGAGATGAAAGGAATGTTCCACCATGTCCAGCCCCCCCCCCTTTTTTTTTTAATATGGAGAAATTGGTTTTGGACACAGCTCCTGACCTCTGGAGGCCTGAGCTCTAGTTGCAGAGTCAGAGAGAAACGAAATACTGTGTTAGAGACAGAGCAGCAGAGGGTGGGGCTGAGTTGATAGGAGAAGACAGGTCCTCAGGCTGGAGGAGGTTGCTGCTCAAGATCATTGGTTGGGACTTTGAAGCAAGGACGGAGAGTGAATACAAAGCTGGCTTAGAAGGCTAAACAGGACTTAGGATTCTGTGTACAAGGCAGACTCAGTGGACACACCAGAGCCAGACCCTCTCCTTTCTGCCACGGGATAAGAAAATGTTGGGCACCCAGGTTCAGGCAGGCCAGCCAGAATCTACCAGGCTTTGGGCATGGACTACACAGGCTGGGTCTTGTGTGGAAAGTTCAAGAGGTTGCTGCAGAGGACTGAGGAAGGTAGTCTTCAGAGAGTGTGACCCTTCCATAGGCAGGTGGAGAGACCAGAGCCAGGAGATGTGGGCAGCCAGCTGCTCAGGCTCAGGTGCTCTACGTCAGTATAGATTGCCATTTGTTCCCCAAGCTCACCTGGATGGATTTGTGTCCTCTCTGATGAAGAGTCAGGACAAGGAAGGAATGCCCTCTTCACTTTTCCTCCAAGACCAGGGGACTGTCCCCAAGAGCGCACTCTGCTTTGCTGCCCAACTCATGGATTAAAAGTTTGCTTTGTTTTGAAAACGTTGATCTTAGTTTTACATAAAGTATCCCCAGCTGAGCCGGGATTTGCTTGTTGTTGGCTTTCCTTCACAGCTTGCCTTTAAGAGGACAGAGCTGGCAGCAAGAAGCTGAGAGAAACCGGGCTGACAGTGAGGAGAGCAGAACCCCTCTGAGGTTAGGCACTTTCCACTGGATTTACTTCACTGGTGTTCAGAGTCTCCATGCCTTCATTCCGCCCCCTCCCCTCCCTCCCTCCGTCCCTCCTCTGTTCCTTTTCTCCCTCCTTTTCTTTGCAGTATTGGTGTTTATAGCCAGGACACTGAGCCACACTTCCACCACCCCTTAGATGTTTTTTCATTAAGTTCCAGGCTGGCTTTGAACTTCAATCTTTCCACTTTAGCCTATCCAGTAGCTGGGATTACAGATCTGTGCCATGGGGCTTGATTTTTTTTTTTTTTTTCTCACCACTAGCCTTGGCTGTTCTGGAACTTACTATGTAAACCAGGTTGGCTTTGAACTCACAGAGATCCACCTACCTCTGCCTCACCAGTGCTGGGATTAAAGGCATATACCATAGGTTCAGCTGGGGTCTGATTTTATTTTTATATTTATTTATTTATTTTATTTATTATTATTATGACTTTTCAAGACAGGGTTTCTTTGTGTAACTTTGTAGACCAGGCTAGGCTCTAACTCACAGAGATCTGCCTGCCTCTGCCTCCGGAGTGCTGGAACTAAGGGTGTAAGCCACTACCGCTCAGCTTTTTATATTTATTTTTTGGAGACAAGGTCTTACTATATAAATATATAGTAAGTCTTAAACTGGGACTTTTCAGTCTTAAACTGGGACTCCTCCTTCCTCAGCCCCCCAGATTATGTGTCCACATCACTACCCTGGTTCAGAAAAGCTCTCAAAACTTACTCTCAAAACTTCTGCCCAGTAGTAGAAATGTGGACCTTACTGGGGAGAGTGCCCTGTGTGTGGTCAGGGCCACCACAGCTTGCTGGCGCATGTCTTCTATTTGTGGCTATGTACTCTCAGTTGCCCCCTGGCTGTTGCTCAGTTTTCTCTTCATGCTTTTCCGTGTGTTTTACTGGAGAGGCAATGTGCTCACAGGTTCCTGCTTGGTGGTTCATTTCTTTTTTTCCCTCTGCAAAACTTGATAGAGCTTGAATTTCTTCACAGTAGACACAGAGGGCACCCACTCCTTCCCCAAGGCTTGTGCCATTTTTGCCACTGTGTTGACTGTTTCCAGGACTCCCCTCCTCTCACTTTAAATGGATTTCCTTCCAGAAGTCATTCCCACAAGTTTTATATTTTTGTTTTTGAGGGAGAGTGGGTGGTACTATGCGTGTGAGCCTTCAAGCTCATCTGGCCATTTAGTGTACACTGGATCTGACCACAGCGGCTCCTCTGCTATGGTCCAGGATGGAGCACAGCCCTTGGTCATGCCATCGAGACCATGCCTGGCCTCTCTCCACTTGTCCAGGGTCCCATCTGCTTGTAGGCTAAGGTACCCACCCAGATGAGCTTGCATTTTAATTGTTAAATGCCTGCCTCTGTCTTGATCCTTAACACCTGTCACAATACTTGCCAAGAGTCTGCCCTTTAGTGTTTACTATGATCACACTTAGAAGAAGTATGTGGGACTTTCTCATACCTAGAGACTAGGAGGGAAAATAGCAGGCAAACCAAGTTAGTACTCAGGGAGAGTACTCAGCTGTGCTATTGTAGAAGGACACCATCTCCTTATGTTTTGGGGGTGTTCCTTTTATTTAATATGCATGTTTCTTGGGACCAAGGCCACACACTGTCACTACCTGTGTTTATCCTAATTGTCACTGTTGAGGTAGTAGGTCCTCTGTACTTGCTGACTGACGAACGCCAGGAACTGGACACATTCCAGCTGCCATCAGTGATAATTGTGCCTCCTGCAGCTCAGAAGTAGGGCACTCATGTTTCTCTTTGTTCAGGCTGCTTGTAGATCAGAGTTAGGATTTTTGGAGGAATTCGGTAGCTGAGTAGTTCTATTGAATAATCTCTTGGAAGGCAAGAACTTCCTAAGCCACAGGTGCTAGACAGTGATGTGGTCATGTGACAGTCGCAGGCTGTGTGTTCTCAGGAGTTACTTACTTTTACTTGAATGTAGAGTCATGAAGGCCAGGGTTCCCCCTCCTCCATCTGAAGAGGTCCACTCTGTCCACAAAGTGCAGCTCTCTCTTCTTTTGTCCCTGCAGGTTGCCATGGCTGCGGTTGACAGCTTCTACCTCTTGTATAGGGAAATTGCCAGGTCTTGCAACTGCTATATGGAAGCACTGGCCTTGGTGGGAGCCTGGTACACAGCCAGAAAGAGCATCACCGTCATCTGTGACTTCTACAGCCTGATCAGGCTGCACTTCATCCCTCGCCTGGGGAGCAGGCCCGACCTCATTAAGCAGTATGGAAGATGGGCTGTCGTCAGTGGTAACTTGATTTCAGTTCCAGTGGTCTTTCTGGTTGGGTTGTATTTAAATCGGTGCTTCCAGCAAGGAGCTGCAGAATTTAATTGGAGGCTTCTGCCTCCTGCTGAGACCTCATTCTGTGCTCTTGCTCTTCCCACCTCACTTCAGGGAGCTCTACCCTCAGAGGCATCCCCCTCATTACTCCAGCTCCTGCTCCCAGCCCCCCTTCCCACCTCTCACATGTCTTCTGCTGTGTGTTTTGAAATTGTCCTTTGGGGTTGTCAAAGCTCTCAGAAATGCTTTACCTGTTTTGAGTTGCATTGTGATTTTATCTCTGTCCCAGAAGCTCATCCTGACACCTAAGCAAGCCAGGGGCAAGTTTAGAAACAGATTCCTACAGTGCCCTACTCTAGTGGGCTGAGTGTGAGCAGTGCCTAGTCTGTCCGTCAGGATATCTTGGAGTGCGTGCGTGCGTGCGTACGCGCCATGTGTACATGTAAAAGGTCTGGGAACAACTTATAGGAGTCAGTTCTCTCCTTCCACCATGTGGGTCCTGGGGTTTGAACTCAGGTTGTCAGACTTGGCCGCAAGCACCTTTACCCACTGAGCCCTCTTGGTAGCCCCCGCCTGAGGATCTTTACCACTATGATTATCTTATCAATTGAACAAAGTCCTTAACTGACAGATGTTACACGTTTTCCCTCCAGTGTATGTTTTTCTCTGATGAGAGCAACAGTGAGTAGTTGTGGTTGTCTGTAAGGATACCATGCTTCAACATGCTCAGGCCTCCTGGCTTGCCTTGCAGGGGCCACAGATGGCATTGGGAAGGCCTATGCTGAGGAGTTAGCGTGCCATGGACTCAACATCATCCTGATCAGCCAGGAAGAAGAGAAGCTGCAGGCTGTGGCCAAGAACATAGCTGACACCTACAGAGTGGAAACAGTCGTCATGGTGGCAGACTTCAGCAGAGGCCGGGAGATTTATGCTCCAATCCGAGAAGCCCTGAGAGACAGAGACATTGGCATCCTGGTGAATGACGTGGGTGCATTCTACCCCCACCCGCAGTATTTCGCCCAGCTTCCTGAGGACACACTCTGGGACATTGTGAATGTGAACATTGCGGCTGCAAGCTTGATGGTCCACATAGTGCTTCCGGGAATGGTGGAGAGAAAGAAGGGTGCCATCATCACAGTGTCTTCCGGCTCCTGCTGCAAGCCCACACCACACCTGGCTGCCTTTTCTGCATCCAAGGTCAGGCTCTTCTTCCTGTGGGATGGTCAGGGAGGAGTCAGCTCTCACTTGCTTATGCTGGCAGTTTTCCTGGAGATGGGAACAGACAGGTCTTTTGCTCCCGGGTTTTCTTTCAAGGTCCTTCTAGGTTCAAAATACTCTTCCTCTGTCTCCCCTTACCTCCAGGCCTACCTGGACCACTTCAGCCGAGCCCTGCAGTATGAATATGCCTCTAAAGGAATCTTCGTGCAGAGTCTGATCCCTTTCTATGTGGCCACCAGTGTGACTGCACCTGGCAGCTTCCTGCACAGATGCCCATGGCTGGCACCTTCACCGAGGGTCTATGCACAGCATGCCGTGTCGACCCTGGGCATTTCGAAAAGGACCACAGGCTACTGGTCCCACTCTATTCAGGTAGCTCCTTT